ATGCACACAAATTCAGTTTTCGACACATTCAAAAGTAGGAAATTACAAGACATCCAATCGCTAACATCTTGAATACATGTCTGAAGTATCACCCGGGCGCGAATTTGATCATCTTCAGAAACCGATAAATAAATCTGTGTGTCATCGGCGTAAAAATGATATTTTACGCCGTGACGTCGCAATAACTCGCCCAATGGACGCATGTACATTGAGAACAATAATGGCCCTAAGACGGAGCCCTGTGGAACACCGGTTACTAATATAGACGTCATATCAGAAAATACATTTCCAATTTTCACTTTTTGAATGCGGTTACTCAAATACGACTCAAACCATTTGATGATGAGACCATTTAAACCAAAATTTGATCTCAACCTATCGATGAGAATCCTGTGATTCACAGTATCAAAAGCGGCTGAAAGATCCAAATAAATACTTTATTTTCGCATGAAATTAATTTTCGCTATTTTCGCTGAAGGGATGATTCAGTGAAAATAAAATCAAGCGAATATACCTTTTTTCCTATATTCTGCATTCAACTTTAATACCAAAAATCAGTGAAAATAAATTCCATACAAAATACCTAAAAAGTCTTTTCAGCGAAAATTAATTCCATTGAAAATACATTATTTCACAGTATTTTACTTAATTTCACTATTTAATGTTAACTTGGCAGTAAAAAAATGAGTTCTATTATTACTTTACATGTTCACATAGATCTAATTTAGTGAATTAGCGAAAACAATCAATAATCAATGCAAATACATGGCACAGTAGTGAAGATTACATTGAGAGAGACAGCCAACACTTATGTTGGAAATTATGAAATAGTGACCATTTCTGGCAATGTTGATTTGAAAAGTTACAGAATTATGGAGATCAAGATTGTTACCTCTTGCAAGCAATCCCTGCGTATTGACTCCCTTAGCTGACAGGCATCCCAAACATGCTTCAAGATTTTCAAGCTACGGAGAAAACAAATACATTCCATTAAACTTGGTGCCACAAATCTTCCATTCATAAATTCCATGAAATCTTACGACCAAAGATCTGTCTAGCGCATAAAATTGTTACTGGTAAGTGCCAAGTGACGACTTTGCAGTGGACTCAAACTAACTGAACACAACGACATCACAGTGAGTTGGGTACTACCGGTACATCATCCTTTTCCAAATCTTTTAACAAATATTAACATACATGTATCCTAAGATATCATGAACTAAATTAGGTAATAAAACAGATAGATTCAAACAAAAAAATAGTTTTTTCTTTATCAGGTTTGCTGATTGCTTAACACCCATGTTCAATGTTGTTCACATAAAAACCTATTTTGCAAAAATTCAGAATAAATAATTCAGTTTCATGGAAGTCTCATGGTAATCTTGTGTTATTACATGTACATACAATTTTTCCATGTTTTGGACAATAAAGTTCAGGGTACACAAGGCTATTTGTTGGGAGTGTTTGGTTATCGGAATTATTTTATTTTATTTTATTTTATTCGCCCACACTCCATATGTTATATCAGAAATGCAAATGTCTATGAAATACAACTTATTATAACTATACACTCTGTTATTTACATAAATTCATAATAGCTAAAAAATATAATAAATTAGACAAAGAATCAGGCACTAATACAAGAAACTGGTTGTATATGTATACACATTTCTGTAAAAGCAATAATTTAATAAGCATTTAAAAAAATAAAATAAACAGAAATCAAATCAAATGAACATGTTTCTTGCCAAACCTATAGCCACTAAAAAGATTGTGGGCATTCTTTTTCTTACTTTCTACCACTGCACAGCACCCTCTGTTGACAACTTATTGTTAAGCATGCAAAATTTGTGTGTCGTTTAATAATTTATCAGATTTAATTTAAGAAAATATCTGACCAAAATATTTTTTTCTGTCCCAGAGGCAAAAATTAGCTCAAGCTTTCATGGTAGCAACGTAACTGACACAGAGGTAAGCTTTAGCATGGAGATAGCATTCTCGCCCGCCAGAGTATTTTTTCAGCCCCCACTCAGAGGCAACCATCAGTTGCCGAAAGAGGGCATGGATTGCAACGATGGGAGATAGTGAATACATAGGAAACTGAGAGAATACTGCATAGTTACCATACCAATACACCAAACCTAATACTATAGCTGTCAAACTCTTACATAGCTACAAAGTGACAACTTAATAAGAAAAGGAACAGCTGACCACTCAGATGTGTTCTGTACTGTACTTATGAACTTCAGAAGCAAGTCGCGTTTGACCCTTTGAACGCCAATGTCAACTTTGGTCACATTTTACAAAATACACTCGCATAATTTTGTCCAAATTTCTTTTTTGTTAATCACGACCTGTAGCTGATGAGACGTTATGACCAAACTTACCAAAGAGGGGATAGAATGCAGAATAAAAAGGTAGCAAAAGTTACCACAAAATAAGGCAGAAGTTATAATAACATTAGTAAGGTTGTTTTGAGATTATAAACGAAAAATATTTGTTTTTCGTTTTTATCTATGTCTCTTTTGATTAAACTAATTAATGTAAAATACTTTATTTTAGCTGGAATTAATTTTAGCTGAAAAAACTTTTTGGGTGTTTTGCATGGAATTTATTCATTACAAAGATTTTTGACAAATCGAACGTAAAATATAGGAAAAAAGGGATATTCGCAGGATTTTATTTTCACTGAATCATTCCATCAGCGAAAATTAATTCCAAGCGAAAAGTATTTTATAGTATTTTAAAATGTTGCATTATTCTTGCATAAACAACCAATAATATAATTCCAAGTTGAAGACATGTTATACAAACTATTTCCTTCACAAAGTGGATGACTGTAACTAAAAATCTGCAGCAATCTGGATGAAACCAGTTTGACAGAATAATAGAATAGTTTTAATATTGCCTAAATTCACATATATGAACATGATACAGAGTAAGCATAGTAGGGTTCAAATTCCCTGGTGGGAGGATTTCAAAACCGTATGGATTATTATCAAAACAAGTGAATTGTGCATTCAATTAAACTCTATATCAACATTAATTGATGGCACAAGTCCTAGAACACATTGAGGGTCAACACTGTTGGGGGACAGTAATGAATACTTGTAGTAATCAGACATGCTGGTATTGATCCACAAAATGAACACAGAAGTCCTGGATCAATTAATCCTATTGATCTACATCTGAAAAAGTTAATGCTTTTATCAATATAACAAACAGTGTGTGAATGGCATTCAGAAGATTGAATCATTTTTTTTTTAAATGAATTTCTGCATCAGAGGACTTTTTGTTTTTTTGAAAATGTGCATCTTTGACATGCTTTGTCAAATTTCGATGAAGATTTTTTTCTTAGTTGCTTATTGTAAGTGCATATGTGTAAACCAGTCTCTCAAACTCAAACTGCGTGTTTAAATACTTTTTTCTTTGTGAAAATTTCAACTTAAATTCAGCAACCTAAAGTAACTAAACATGCAACAGCGCCCTCTGTAGGTCAAACTAAGATATTATTAAGACATCTGTCACTCCAGGGTTGCTTGGACAAGCTCACCTAATTGGCTTACAAAAGAAATAAACTACCGTCTAGAGATCAATTACAATTGCAAATAAACTTAGACTAGACATACATCTATTAACTAAGTGTTATTGCAGCAGCGGATATCTCTGATACTGATATGATGGCAGTCATTCTGTGCAAGAAAGGATGACAAACAAGAAATACCTTTTGAATTTTTGTATGTAAATAACTGGCATCATTGGAATATTTTTAATCTTTCTCATGAAAAAGAAAAATTTGAAATATACAAAATCTACTGGTTCTCATGGTTCAATTCATCGTATTCTATATATACATGTACCATGACACAAGACACAGTTTCAGATAATTTTGTAATGGTTGTCATGGATAAGTATATCGTCATTTCAGCTGATTGGGAAACTACTTATTTTTAACTTGTGCACCGACGCTGGTGCGCTCCCGGACTTTGTCTATGGAGGTATGCAGGGCTGTGGTGGGGGGGACATCTATCAACCGAACGCGTTCCCGTATACACAGCACTGTACGCAGGGCTGTGGTGGGGGGACATCTATCAACCGAACGCGTCCCCGTACACACAGCACAGTACGCAGGGCTGTGGTGGGGGGACATTTATCAACCGAACGCGTCCTCGTACACACAGCACAGTACGCAGGGCTGTGGTGGGGACATCTATCAACCGAACGCGTCCCCGTACACACAGCACAGTACGCAGGGCTGTGGTGGGGACATCTATCAACCGAACGCGTCCTCGTACACACAGCACTGTACGCAGGGCTGTGGTGGGGACATCTATCAACCGAACGCGTCCTCGTACACACAGCACAGTACGCAGGGCTGTGGTGGGGGGACATCTATCAACCGAACGCGTCCCCGTACACACAGCACAGTACGCAGGGCTGTGGTGGGGGGACATTTATCAACCGAACGCGTCCTCGTACACACAGCATAGTACGCAGGGCTGTGGTGGGGACATCTATCAACCGAACGCGTCCCCGTACACACAGCACAGTACGCAGGGCTGTGGTGGGGGGGACATCTATCAACCGAACGCGTCCTCGTACACACAGCACTGTACGCAGGGCTAGGATAAACCTTGGTAAAAATTTCAGATTCCCTGATTGGTATTCCTTTACCTTTACATATCACAAATTCATGCTTAATGACCAACTTGAAAAGTCTTTGGCCTTCCTTTGTTAATTGGACCACAGTAATTAAACAATTACAGTCATTGGGATCCTTAGAGGACACTACTGCTAATTTATCGCAGATGTGCATAACTCCTAGAATAATTATAATTCATAGACATGGGGCAACCTCTGCTGTATTAAAGATGACAATTTGGAATAAAATATACCCAGGCAACCACTGTTGTTAAGGAAGAAATCCATAATGTGGAAAATAGCTGTTTATAGTCCACTGACCCAGGCAACTATTGTTGTTAAGGATGAAATCTATAAATTCAGAAATGCTATATATACACATACTGTAGATTGACCCAGGCAACGACTGTTGTTAAGGAAGAAATCCATAATGTGGAAAATAGCTATTTATAATCCACTGACCCAGGCAACTATTGTTGTTAAGATTGAAATTCACGACTGAAAAAAATTCTATATATATTTTGGTACATAGACCCAGGCAGCCACAAAGTACAGTGATCTAAAACTTAAGATTGGTGGTAGAAATGTTTATTTATAGAGCTTGTAGTTGGAGAGTCTAGTCATTTTATGGGCTATGTAACAATATACTGTAACAGTTACCAATGGACTGTTATTAAAGACATCATATTAAAACGAGGACATTACTACCTCTGACTCACTGAAAACTAGACCAATAATGGAAAGCTGCCCGACATCACTGCTGCGATATCTGTACTATCAATTAGTGCATCCTTTCTTTCAGCAGTAATTATACTGACAAACTTCGAGACAAAAAAAAAAAAGATTAATTTATTGACTTTAGTTTTGCACACTTATGATATTAGTTTAGTAAAAATTGAATTGTATTATTTTTTTCACAAATCATGGTGATATATCGAAAACCATTGAAATTATAGCAAGACTACTACACTGTCTATGACTAAACCCATGAATTATTAATGTCAACTGCCATGTGCTTTAGAAAAATATTTTATTTTTTTCTGATTATATAGTTCATTTTTTTTAAATTTTATTCCTGATATAGATACATTACTGTGTATTTGCATTAGTAAGAATAATAAACATTTCTGTGTATATTTATTCATAAAATCAGTCTAATATCACATGTGATCTTCCCTTTGCACAACAAAAGCAGATGCAACCCCTGGCGCAGCGCGTGTGCGAATTTCATATAAATAAACAATGTATTTTACACGCGTTGTATACGTCGCTATGAGTCCCCATATCGAACAGGACGCGGCACGATGACTGCTGCCCTTTAAAC